CGAATTCATATAAAACCTTTAGCGATCTTGAACAAATTCATTAACAATCTGGATACGTATGTCTAAACGTATCTGTAGATACAGTATGAATTTAATAAGCCATGTAACATTGTCTCGCACCTATTGTTGGTAGCTCACCCACGAAAAATTTTCCGGAACGTAATTTTTAGCCAATTAGATCGATGGACCAAGTGTAACATAAAAATCAAAACAATCGAATTAAGCGAAGATTTAAATCAATAAACCATATCTTAAAGGTTAGGATTAAGGCTAAGAAAAGTGTATATAGTTTATACCATATTTCGCAAGGAATTTTTTTTTTGTTGGGACGCAAAATGCAATTTCATAGACAAAATTTAGAGTTATTAGCGGTTTTTTGAAAAAAAACCAAAAATACGGCACGTATGAATTCTGTGCCAGGTTTGTGGCGCAGTTTTACAATTAACAAAAATTTTTATAAATTTTCATTGTAGTTAGGGTTAGCGTTTAGACTAAGATTAGAGGTTAGATAATTATATAGTAAATCGCTCAAAGAAACCCTTTTGTCAGAGCACTAAAGGTTGTTTTTTATGCTGATTTTTGAGAAATAAGCGATTTTTGACAAAACGAACGTTTGTTTTGGCATTTGCTGATCGTGTTATGTTACACCGTGATCTTGAAATCAGGTATCTGCGCCAAAAAAAACTGGCACAGAATTCATGCGTGCAAAAATAATTAGCAGAAAATCACGTTCTGGAAAATTTTGGTGTTTCGGGTGTTATACACAGTGTAGAAAATCTGATCTCAATGTTCTTCGAGAACATCAATTTTCCAATTTTTTATTAATAAACATATAAAAAAAAATTACCTGAGAACATTAAAATTGATTTAGATTTCCAACACTAGTTATGCACCTTGCCAAATCATCCTCTTTTGCCAGCCATACCTCGCCACACCAAAATGGCGAAAGATCATCAGCTTATCATTTCTCAAAAATTCACATTAATTACAGTGATGCAAACGGCTGGCTCCAGCTCGGCTACTGCTCAATCATAATTAAGCCAATGTTACGATCCGGAGAGAGCTATAAACAATCTTGAACCAATTTAGTTTCTATCGTGAACGATATAGTGATTGAGGTCGAATAGCTTAGATCAAGAAATCAACACACATTATCATAATTCATAAGGTTTCTCTTTATTATATTTATTATAGGGAAGGAGTATTTAATACATATCTGCTTACAACAAACTGAATATACTGAACGTTCACTAACTTCCTTAAGTCAAAATTCAATCCCTTTTATACCTTTAACTTCCAACAGTGCTTTAAACCCTCACTAATACCATTTGACCCCTGGTTAAGGGTCATAAACCCTCATTGATGATTCTCTAACCCTCACCGACAGTTCTTAACCCTTACTGAGGGTCCTTAACCCTTACCGAGGGTTAATTTTCTTTACAATAAGCCACAAAAGATTTACCCAATTAGAAAACTTGATAAAATAAAATATGTATGTACTAACCATATAAAGATAATAACAAAGAAAGCGAAAGAAAAATAAAGAAAAATTAGATGCAACACTGAGCTGCTTTTTAGCCGAGCTGTTTTTTAGCTAAGCTGACAAGAGCTGCAGCTCCAATTTAATTACTATTATAGTTACAAAAAAAATTGTATTTTCAATTATTTTAGCAGAAATATATGTATATATGTACATACAAATACATACCATTATAATTTATAATTGCAAGCATGTAAAACATAGTACAAGAACATATAATTAATTTTTTTTTTAAAAAAATATTTTTTGAAAGAAAAAAACTTCTAAAAAATACATTTTTTTAAAAAAAAAAACTTTAAAAGAATATCTTTTTAAAACAAAATTAACTTAAAAAATAAAATAAGCATAATTAAAAAAAAAATCAATCCTTTTGAAATCTAATGCCATGTTCCAACTATGAGCCAGTACACATTAATACCTGTACGCTTTTTTCAGAAAGATGTATACATTTAGCCTGGATAGTATCATCAGCCTTTGAGAATATTTGTTCAGAAGACAATGATGTTGCCTAGATTGCGAAGAAATCTTTGGCTATTCGTAATATGCGTGAAAAATGAAAATTGTTAAGTTTTCACCATTCCAAAGAGTTAATGCTTATAGGTAAAGTAGCCTCATTTAAATACTAAGCAAGTTCATCTGTTAGATTATTTAAAACATTAAGCTGACATTGCTTTTGAGCAATTTGTTCTATATATGTTATTGAGTTTGACACTTTTTCAGAATTTAAGGCTGAATTAGTAGACGAATTATCTAATCTGAACTCTGAATATTTCTGAAAATTTTGATTAAAGTAATCCTAATTTTCTGGTGTGTTCATATTAACTGGTATTAATTCAAACTTTATTTTAGGGTCAAGAATTTAAGCCATAAAAGTCACCTTATTATAAATATGAATCATATATTAATTAAGTTTTTTTATTATTTGTGTTGCAGCAGTTTTAAGAAATTGAAAACTTGATAAATCTTGAATACACAATGTAATTACATTAATTAAATCATCAATTAATAAGGCAGAAAGGCCTAATATTACATATGTACTACCTAAAAGTATGTTTGTAATTTCATAAAATGGTTGTAAAACTGAGTTACAACTTGAAGATCATAATCTTCTTGTTGAGTAAGCCTATAATAGGCAAGATTGATGTGCTGTCTCATAACTGTTACTATTGTTGTAGACATAAATGTATAAACTAACAATATAAAATAGGTAGTATTCCATCTAGTTAATACATTCTGTATAATTTTTTGACCTTTGCCAACTAACTGTCCAATTTCTTTAAAATCTTGTGTGATTGTAGATGATGATGTAATAACTTTTACAAATCTTCATACTTTTCAATTGATGTTTTAATCAGTATTATTACCATTATAATAATAAGATATAGAACATGTGCAAGGCAATGACGTTAATAAAAATGATGATTTTGCATCATCAAATATATATTTAGTAAACAGATTGCTGAAATAATGTTTGATCTATTATCTGTAGTTGCACAAAATATGTTCATAATATTAAAAGTTTCTAAAATAAATTTTAATTATGCTTCAATGTTCTCACCAGTATGTGGGTGTAGTAATATACACATATCGATTAATATCTTTTTAAGGTTTTAATTATTGTTGATCTAGTGCGCAGTAACCCCAAGAAAGGACATATTTGCACAGGAGATCCAAAGATCTAATGTGATTAAAATCTGACTAGGAATTTGTCCAAAAAGAGTTTGAACATCCCCTCTCATTGAAATAAAAGAATTATGTACAATTGACTTGATAGTTTCATGTGATGGTAAATCAAGACTGACATTAAAAAACTGTAACAAAGTAATTAACACTTTGCTTTCAACAATTGAAAAAGGTAAGGTGTCCGAAACTATCTACTTAGCCAATAAAATATTAAACCATACCTTTTGGTTAGTCATCAAACTTTGTGTTGTAACTGTTTGTGTAAATGTAAAAATTTTAATTGTACTCCATCCTGGATGTTGTGAGTCAAGATGCTTGCACAATGTGCCTGTTGCTATTCTTTTACTAAATGAATTTTTGCAAATAATGCAAGTAACTAAAGAATCGTCATCTATTTTTTTTGTAAAATATTGCATGACCACAGATGTTTTTTTTATTTTGATAACTGGAGAAAGGGTGGTAATATCTGTGCTTGAACCATCTGTATTATTATCAGATGTATATTGTAAAGATTCTTGAAAATCTGAAGAATTAATATTAGAAGGGTTGTCAGGATCCATTTTTATGATTATTGTTTGTAAGTATACGATTATTACGATTATTGTAAGAGTACGATTAATAAAAAAAAAAGCTATTTATTATCTTTATTATATTATGAAATATTTGATTATTATTATAGTTTCTTATAGTTTATTATTAATTATTGCGGTTTGCATGATTTTGTGACCCTATGATTACATAATTAATTTTTTTTAATGATTAAATGATTGTTATTGCGATCACGATTGCTAAAGCCGGCCAATTTATCATAAATCCAAGTTTGTGTCAAACTCAGATTTATGATAAATTGGCCGGCTTTAGCAATCGCGATGCAATCACCATTAAAAAAAAGTAATCCTGTAATCATAGGGGGGTCACAAAATTAAACGTTAATTACTATTACAGTAATTACTCACGGCTTTAAACCAGCTCCATGTAACACAAGCCGAGCTGTTGGTTAGCTGAGCCGTTAGTTAGCTGAGCCGAAAATTAGCTCGGCTAAGCCGATCGGCTCACGGCTATGCAGAGCCGTTTTGCATCACTAGTTGAGGGGTGAATGCAACAATCATTAACATTAATATGAACTTAGAATTACTGGCAGTTTATTGTTGTTATAGATAGAATTTAATTATTGTATTGAGTTTGCTTAATTTCACCGTAAACTATTAAAAAAAAATTGTTATTAACCATGTAGCGCTGGAATAAATATTCAAATAAAAAATATCGTGCGTCATGCTTATTTTTACATTTTTATTTTATTTTTTTATCTTTTTATTTTTTTTTATTTTTTATTTTTTTTATTCGGTATCGACATACCGATCATGTATAATATACATCAAATTATGATTCAAAAGTGACTTATGCCAATTCGAGATTAACAGGAATTCCAAAGTGATGTATAACATAAATACATGCATTAACTAACAAACTCATTTTTTGATTTATCAAATTTATGAAATATGTTTATTGTTATATATAATAAAAATCGTATATATAAGTTTATACTTAATGATAAAATTTCACGATCAAATAACATAAATATACGGATTACATAAAATTGAAAATTGACTCCGATAATATATACCAAAAAGCATTAGTCTAAATGCCAAGTTAAAGTTAGTAATAATTTATTTAAATATGATAAATAAGTTTATAAAGTAATTACCAATAGGAATTTCAACAGAGTCGACAGGTTTACTTGTGAACATTGCTATTGAAAAATAATTAGTTTGAATGGATAAATAAATAATAAAGCATAACTTTTTAATAAGTCTATACCTTTAAATGCACTTGATATTTCCTGAACATTAATAATTTTGCTTGTGTATATAAAGTCTGAATGTTTTGGCGATACAACTGGCAACTCTTTGGCTATTTTGTCTGCTTCCAAGAACTGCTTTTTTACTTCCAAGAATTGCCTTTTGGTTTCATAGGTTTCATGTTCATCCTCATCCTCATTACCATCGCCGTCATCATCTAAACTTTCCATGATATTATTCCATTCTTCAAGCTTTTTCTTAATTTTCCAAACAGAAGGTCGTTTTTTTGGATCAGAATCCATACATTGTTGAGCAAATTCAGTGTAGCAATCCGGAGTTCCAAAAGCAAATTCAGGCCGCAATCCACGGCAAATATTCAACGCAAGTTCAACATCAAACTTGTAACGGTCATAAGGTCTTTGTCCTGTTGAAATCTCAGACATGATGACTCCAAAGCCGTAAACATCTGCAGCTTGTGAAAACTCTTGGCCTAATAAAATTTCTGGCGCAACATATGGCATGATACCATAAATATCATTTGACTTATTTTTGCCATACTTTTTAGACAACCCTAAGTCTGATATATAAGATTCTATATTTTTGCTAATGCCTTTATCTAGTAAAACATTGCCGCTGTGAAAATCTGCATGAATGTATCCCGCATAATGAATTTTAAATAAATCATATGAAATATCTTTAAGAAGTTTTAATTTACTTTGCCAGTTAAGATCCCGAAAGTTGCTTCTTAGAAATTTGTAAAGACTTCCATTATCTGCGTATTAAATACCATCAAGTATTCGTTTGTTTCTGTATTTTGTGTCAATCCATATACTTTAAGCTTGCTACCCAACAATCCGCATTTCACAAGAGTGTCAAACTTTATAAATTTTTTATCAATAGATTAGTCAATATGTGCTTAATAAACTGTACAATAAATATTGATTAACTTACTTCTTTCAAAAATTCATTAGGGTTTTCCTTAGATAAAGTCTTGAGTGCCACGATAGATGGTTCACGTTCTCTTACATATAAATGGTTATTATCATCATCACTTTCATCATCATTATTGCCATCATCCGCATCACCACCTTCAGCTTTCTTAATTTTTTTAATCTTTCGTATACCGTCCAACCAGGTTGCAGAAAATATGGAGCCAAATCCTCCTTCACCAATTTTTTTAATATTTGTCAGTTTACCAAACGGAATCCATTCAATCATATCCTTATATGCATTAACCCTAAGTTGAAGCCCTTTCATGCAATTATCAATATCCTTATTTCCACTTGTCCACCTTCCAATCGTTACGTCAGGATCACATGCTTGACACCATGCTTCATGAGTGTTATATTCATTACAATATGCACACTTTCCATATTTGGGATCTCTTTACAACCATTTTGATATTGAATTATATTTTATATTAGTCAATTTCGCTTTATTCATGCGACTCTTAAATTAAATGCAAATAATTTGCATGCTTACCGACTAATTAATATAAATGATGTATTTAATATTTATACGCTTGAATAGCTTATTTTAAATACTTAGATTAATAAACGTTTTTTATACTCACCGACTGCGGTTAAGTAAATGAAATGGCAAATAATCATGAATAGCTTATTTTAAATACCTAGATTAATAACGTTTTTTATACTCACGGGCTAAATTAATGCAAATAAAATACATTAAGTAGCAAATAATCATGAACTTGAATAGTTTATTTTAAATACAGTACATGAATCAATAAATGTTTATACTCACAGACTAAATTAAATAAAATTAAATAGTAAATATACGTGGACTTGAGTAACTTATATTAAGTAATAAACGTTATTTATACTCACAAACTATTAACGGAATAAAATGAAATTAAATAGAAAAAATCATGAACTGATTTCTTATTTTAAATGTTTAGATTAATAAATGTTTTTTATACTCACTTACTGTAATAAAGTAAATGAAATTAAATAGTATAAGTTTATGAACTTAAACAGCTTATTTAAATTCTTAGATTAATAAATATTCTTTACACTCACGCACTAAATTAAATAGTAAATATTCATGAGCTTGAATGACTTATTATAATGCTTAAATTAATAATTTTCTTTATACTCACTTTCTAAATTAATGCGAGTAAAATAAAAGTAAATACAAATGTTCGTGAACTTGGATAAACTTGGATAGTTTAATAAATATTCTTTATACTCACTCACTGCAGTGAAGTAAATAAATTAAAAGTAAATAGTTATGAACTTGAATAGCTTATTTCAATTACTTAGATTAATAAATGTTCTTTATACTCACAAACTGCAATATGTCAAATGAAAATTAAATAAAAACATTCATGAACTTAAATGACTTATTTTAACTACTTAGATTAATAAATATTCTTTATACTAACATGCTAAATTAATGCGAATAAATAAATTTGAATAATAAATATTCATGACATGAATAGCTTATTTTAAATACTTAGATTAGTATATGTTCTTTATACTCACGCCCTGCAGTATGTTAAATGAAATTAAATAGTAAATATTCATTGATTTTAATACCTTACTTTAAATGACAGATAACAAATTCTTATTATACTTACTTCCTGCAGTAAAGTAAATAAAATTAAATTGTAAATAATTATAAACTTGAATAGTTTATTTGATATACTTAGATTTATAATTTTTTTTATACTTACACACT